TCAAAAAATATTCATTATTATTATCAATGTTAAAAACAGTTGAGTAGCAGTTTTTTCAGGAATCTTTGATGGTTGTAAAGAACAGCATTTATTTGAAATATAATATCTGAAATATGTAACTTTCTGTACTGTAACTTGACGAATAAAATTATTGATATTTTTTATTTCTTTCCCCCAAAATTTAAAATAAAAATTGTTACTTACCCCAAACTTTTGAACAGTAGTGTTTAATGTTAAACAAGCTTTTGATTTCAGATAAATGCTGTTCTTTTGAACTTCTATTCATCAAAGAATCCTGAAATAAAAATGTAAATAACTGTTTTCAACATGATAATAACGAGAAATGTTTATTGAGTATCAAATCATCATATTAGAATAATTTCTGAAGGATCATGTGACACTGAAGACTAGAGTAATGATGATGAAAATTCAGCTTTGATCACAGGAATAAATAACACTTTACTATATATTCATGTAGAAAACAGCCGTTTTAAAGTATAACAATTTCACAATATTACTGTTTTTGTTTTTTTTAATCAAATAAATGTAGCCTTGGCTAGGAGAGACTTCTTTTAAAAAACATTAAAAAATTGTACCAATCCAAAACGTTTGACTGATAGTTTGTTGTTGTTGTTATTATTATTATTATTATTATGTTAGGAAATTCTTGTGAACATGCAATATACAGTATACTTGACTGATGCTGTTAAAACATTTCAGCACTGAACTGGTTGCTCTGTTCCCTCTGCATCATGGCGTTGATGTTTACATGTTATGCAGTGGGCATAAAATCATTAGCAATAAACATAGTTTGATAGTGTTATGGCATATTGCTGGCTCAGCTAATGGAACTGCATAATACACTCTCATCACAATAAAAGCTGATAGGTTGATGCCTTTTGCATTTTCATACTGTGAACACTAGGTGTCGATCTTGGACTGATGCTTTGTATCTCTCAGTTTGAATGTGGAATAGCTGGGCTTGATACCTGTAATAATGCCAGTGTTGGACTGTATGCCTTAGTTAAGCGATTCTTGATTATCTCTGTTTATTCAGTGTTGTGGTCAGTTATATCTCAGCTCCACTTCCGTATGGTTCAATTTGTAATTCAGAATTTGAACATTTATCATGGTGAATTCATATCTTGAGTTGTTACATCTCTTGAAATGCCACTAAGCTTTGTTCAGCTGGAAGAAACTCAAACCATATATTACAAGTGTCATTTGCATGTTGTTTTTGCTCTTATTTACTAACATCACCATCACTTATCAGAAATACTGCATGCCAACTGGAGATTAATTATTTGTTTGCATTTCAGCAAAGGCATGAAACACACACAAAGTGTTTGCCGCAACACTCATTAAATTCATATTCAGATAGGGATGTGAGTGTTATATAACTGAGCACAATTCGCAGAACACTAATGGATTTAGGTTATAGGCCATTGTCATGGTCTGTTGAGTAAACCTGTCCTTAACACTTGCTGGCGATCAATATTAGTTAGGTTTTTAGGCAGAATTTTTGTAGTCCCAGAATTGCATGAGGAGCTCTCCTCCCTGAGGTAATAAAACAGCAGGTACTGTGACAAATGTCATGTACCATTCTGTCTCAAGAGCAGCTTTTGTGTCAGAGATTAATGAAAACAAAATGCTCTGTGTCATTCGTTCAGAAATAGGTACGTTTTAACTAATAGGGGACAACACCACTGTTGAAAATCGTCTCATCCATGACTTACATTACATTAAACAGCTTCAGTAATTTATTGTAATTTATATTACACAAGTCTTATCTATCCCATCTTCTTACTTTGTAACCAGATTCTCTATGGTATTTGAGGAATGGGTTATTTATTCAGACCAAGTACCAATACATCAGAGTGCCGCTGTACTTGAATGGCATTGTGTTAAGCCCATGTTGATGCAAGGAGATTGCTGGAAGTGAATTCTTAGTCCCACATTAAATTTGGAGGAGGATGAAAGAGCTCACTCCCAAAGCAGAGTGAATCTTTAATGCTGCTTTTCCGCAAGAGGCAAGAGGTTTTTCGTGTCCGATCCACGTGATCCACCCACTCAGCGCCCGCAATGTCAGAAACCCGTGTATCCCCCTAAATGGGGACATGACCCCCCCCCCCCAACACACACACACATACAGTAACAAAGTGCATTTACTAGAGTACTGTACTTAATCAAACTTATTTCAGGATTATTTTTTTCTGTAAACATGTGACTTAACTTAAAGGGATAGTTCACTTTGAAATTAATTTTTGATATGTTTAAGCTTACCTCAAGGGCATCCAAGATGTAGGTGTCTTTGTTTCCACAGTATTTCAATTTTTATATTTTAGGTCAAACCGTTTGTGTCTATCAGTCATATAATGGAGGTCTATGGGTCCACCACAAAGAGCATGCACAGAGAAGTCCAAATTAAACATGATTCAATGACTCGTAAATATAAGTACACATCGATGGCCTAAGACGAAAACAAGTGGTTTGTGTGAGAAAATGAACGGTATTTATATAGATTTTACCTCTTTGTAACCACAGCCACGTCCACACTTTGTGGCTGTGGTTACAAGAGATAAAAACGATATAAATACTGTTGAATTAATTTCAAATTGAACTATCCCTTTAAGACAAATATCATACTTTTCACTCCACTATATTTTCTATAGTTTCGAAAGTCGGAACTATGTAGTAACTTTGAAAATCCGTGGATGATTTTTTTTCTTCTCTAAAACGTTATTATTGTTTTGCAGGTGACAGACAGCCTATGAATTATCACTTTTGTAGGGTGTCATGTTACGTGTCGTGAAGTTCAGTGGTTTCCCAGCATTTTTTTTTTTTTTTTTAACTCTGATCACTTGGCAAAATGGAAGATGGTTATACCTTGGCAGAGTATGTCCCAGTTTCTTGAAAATACTATTTTTGTTTTTAATGTTTGCTTTGTTCGCCTAAAACACATTGATTAAAGGTTCGGCAATGACGATTCACAAACAGTCTTGTCAACCATGTATCATTATTTCTTTCTGCATTACAAATATTCAAATGATCACAGAAGTACTTGAATAAAAGTCTGCAAAAAGTTTTTTTTTTTTTTTTTTTTTTTAAATGTGCCGAGAAGTGGGTCCCCAGGACCGGAGTTGAGGAACCCTGCTGTATCTCTTCAGTGAGACAAAGTCAAAGTATGACATAAGTGCAGCATTGTGGTGTTATAATTGCAATAGTTGGTGTTATTGGATAGGCCTACATTTCTAAAGTAGAACATCTCTACAGCGTGTTAACTTGTTACTAGTATTCTGCAGCAGTATAGCCTTAACACGTTTCTACATCAGTGCTACTTGTCAGTGTGTGTGTGTGTGTATCTCTTTGTTCTATATCTACATAACATATTCATTTCTTTCCCGAACCAGCTCAACTAGAATTTTTCTAGCCCTCCCCATTCCCCAGCACCACCTGCCTAGACTAGATAAGGGGTTCTCCGTACTTTCCTTGCAGCAGCGCACAGTCTTTCCGTTGTATTTATGTACATGTTTCGGCAGTAGCCGTCACTTATATAGCAACATCAACGTAGCAGATCTAGCCCTCCAAGACTTAACGTTTCATTCTTATCAGTAAATGCTGTTTAAATATCTTCTGAGGGTTGTCGTTATACATCTAATCAACACAGTAGTCTCACAGTGTCTCACTGAAGAGCTAAGGTCTTCTAAAGCACTGGGTTTAAGAGGGTATTCATATGGGAGGGTAATCAGTAAGCTGGCTGCATTCCCGGCTTCTTCTTTTTTTTTTTTGTCAGACGGGATAGCAGTTTGGAAATTTAGTAGGACATTTTTTGTACAACAGTTAATGGATGAAAATGACATAGTCCTGTGAAAAAAAAATGATTGCAGTGTGGGCGGTTAATGGATTGGATTAGCCAGACCTTAATATTATAGGCTGCCACATTAGCACCGAATACACTGAACAATTACAACAGTGACAAACAGGAGGATTGATCTTTATCATTAGTGTGTTTTTTCAAGCCGAGTAGCCTAATATAAAGATGGATGGAGGGATACATTAACACATATCTGGCGACAAGAGGCAATGACAAGCAGAATTTTAATTGAAATTGTTCCCTGTCACGGGATATGTCACGTTCAAACATACGTAATGAACCAGTGGTGACCATTTGTTGGACACTCCTCCTCTGCCAATTCATTAATGTCTTTTATCTCCTTTACTTGTTCGCTCTCATTTACCGCTACAAATTCCTCAT